CCCTCATAATTCCTTGCACTTTCTCTTCACAAAGCTTACCACAAATTGTAATCATTCAAAATCTTGTGTATAAAAGTGAAAGTCACACAGTCGTGTTCAACTCTGCAATCCCATGGACTGTAGCCTGCCTGGCTCCTCTGTCCATAGACTTCTCCAGGAAAGAGTACTGGAGTAGGTTTCCATTTCCTTCTCCAGGGATCTTCCTGACCCAGGGATCAACCCGGGTCTCCTGCATTGCAGGCAGATTTTTTACTAACTGAGCCACTAGGGAAGCCCATCTGTGCAATCTTTAAATATCTATCTCCCGCCTGGGCTACAAATTCCATAACAGGAGGGATCATAATTGTTTTATTCACTATCTAACACAGGGCTTGGGATGGCGAGGTTTTCAATTAGTGGTTTTTGAGTTTATGTGTGAATAAATCATATGACTCATGCAAACTAAATCCAAAGCAACTATTACTATCATTAAGCAGAGTTTAAGGTTCTCTCTTTTCCTGAGAGTTGTTTATGTTCTCAGTTATTTTATTTCTTTTATCCAAGATACAATTTGCATACTTAATATGCATTCAGTACTAATTACTAATTATTTTAGTTAATTTTAGGTGTTTATGAGTCACCTGTACAACGTATGTCCTATGTTATATCAAGCAATTGCTATTCAAATATTTTCCCACATTTAGTTGGATTATTTGTTCTCTTATTAGTGAGTTCAGAGCTCTTATGTATTATGGTTATAATATATTTTGTATGAAAATTGATGTGTATGTGTCTGTGTGAGTGTGTATATATAAAATATATGTGTATTTGCATAACCAGCTCAAGAGGGAAAACTATTCTGTAAACTTAAAGGAATTCCCTAATACCACAGTGTTATATTCTTTGTCCATAATCCCTTATGACTACTGATTTCTTTTCCATGTCTCTAATTTTGTTATTTTGAGAATAATATGTATGTGGAATCATAAAGTACATGTCGTTTTAAGATTGGCCTCTGTTTTACTTTGGCATGCACTTGAGATTCATCCAAGTTGTTATGTGTACTAATATTTTCTTCCATTTTTTTGATAAGAAATGTTACTGGTATGGTTAACTGTGTTACAGGTATGGTGGTATGTTTATGTAACTATGGTTAAACCACAGTAGAACCATTCACTCATTGAAGGACCTCTAGCCTGTCTACTTTTTTAGCTATTACAAGCAAAGTTTCAATGAAAATTCATGTAAAAGTTTTATGTTTATTTCTCTAAAATAAATATGCACTAATAGAATTTCTGAGTCAAATTATACTTGCATGTTCATAGCATGTTGTATAATAAAGTGTCAAATTGTTTTTCAGGAGAGCTGTACCATTTTATACTCTCACAAGAAATGTATGAATAATCCAGTTTCTCTGCATCGTTGCCACCTTATTGTGTGGTCATGTTTTAACAATGTGTAGCCACTTTGACAGATAGAGAGCAGTTAGAACTCTTGATAGTTTCATTGTGCATTTCCGTCATAGCCAATATGCTCAGCATCTTTGCCTGTGCTTCTTTGCCATTGCGGTGACTTCGTTGGCCAAGTTTTTGTTCAAGTCTTTCAATTATCTTGATAATTTTCTATTGAGTGTCTCTTTCCACCTGATGACTTTTAGATTTTTCAATAACTGTTTTTCATTCCCTATTAGTTTCCATGCAGTTATATTTGTTGGAGTTTTGCACATGTCAAATTATTAATATTTTATGTTTATGCCTTCAGATTCAATGGATTTAGCCTAAATTCGAGGAACATTAGTTTCTGCATGGCTTTCTTCTAGAAGTATAAGCTCTTTTTACTTTTTCTATGTACTTTGGCTTTTCCATATATATGCCAATATATACACTTATAAGTTTCTCTGTGTAAGTCAGGATAGTATACATAGGCCACATCCTATATATAGGATACATCTATAGAAAATATTCTACTTGTTTTGCTCTTTGAGAAGGACCCTAGCTCTGAAAAATAATGTTAATATAGAAATGCAGGGAAGTTGAATATTGATTTATGGAATAGACAGGGTTTATTGGTAAGACAGCCATTCATAAGTCTATCAAGTACTGGTATGGTTGCACAGCTGAATGTAAGCATTTTATTAATCTAAAGCTTTTTTTAAAAAAATAATGTTTAGGTATGGAGCTTCTATAAATAGGAAAGTATTATCACATATTAAATTCCTACATTAAGAGCTTTGGAGAAATGTTCAATCAGGAAATCATGGAATATACTGATGATATTGGTGTAATTGCAGGTTGGAACAGACAGTCATCAATACTGTAGAGAACTGCCGTGTTTAAAACATAGGGGAGGAGATTATGGTAAGGATCCATATCATTCTTAGTATTGATCTACATAGAAAAATAAATTGTTCATCAGTATTTGTATCAGTATAATTATAAATAAATTGAAGTCTGCAGAAAAAAAAGTTCATGTCTATATTATTTATAACAAAATAGAAATCTGTCTTCCATTTGAGCCATGCTAGCTCGTCGGAAATGCATAGTCTTTTAATGACAAATAGAATTGAGGACCAGTAAGAAGGGAACATATTTCATCCTTTGACTTGCTCCATCATGACTGAGGACAAATTCTGAAAGTTCTATAGAGGTCACAGAAGGAGAACAAATAATTCCATAATTTGCATTTAAATTCAAAAAACTTTGGATAGCCAAAGCAATGTTGAGAAAGAAGCATGGAATTGGAGGAACCAAGCTGCCTGACTTCAGGCTATACTACAAAGTTACAGTCATCCAGACAATATAGAACCAGCAGAAAGACAGAAATACAGGTCAATGGAACACAATGGAAAGCCCAGGGATAAATCCACACACGGAAGGAAACCTTGTCTTTCACGAAGGAGGCAAGAGTATACAATGGAGAAAAGACAATCTCTTTAACTATTGGTACTGGTAAAACTGCTCCGCTACTTTGAAAGAATGAGACTAGAAGACATTCTAACCCCATGTACAAGAATAAACTCAAAAAGCATTAAAGATCTAAATGTAAGACCAAAAACTATAAAACTTCTAGAGGAAAACATAGGCAAAACACTCTTTGACATAAATCGCAGCAGGGTCCTCTAGGACCCACCTCCCAGAGGAATGGAAGTAAAAGCAAACAATAAATGAATAGGATCTAATTTAACTTAAAAGCTTTTGCATAACAAAGAAAGGTTAAGCAAGATGAAAAGACAGGCTTCAGAATGGGAGAAAATCATAGCAAATGAAGCAATGGACAATGAATTAATCTCAAAAATATGCAAGCAGCTCCTGAAGCTCAATTCCAGAAAAATAAATGATCCGTTCAAAAAACGGGCAAAGAACTACACAGACATTTCTCCAAAGAAGACATCCAGATGGCTAACAAACACATGAAAAGATGCTCAACATCACTCATTATAAGAGAAATGCAAATCAAATCCATGATGAGGGACCATCTCACGTTGGTCAGAACGGCTCCTAGCAAAAAGTCTACAAAGAATTAATGCTGGAGAGGAACAGTGTGGAGATTCCTCAGAAATTGGAAATGGAACTTCCCTACCACCCAGGAATCCCGCTGCTGGGCATACACACTAAGGAAACCAGAATTGAAAGAGACGCGTGTACCCCAATATTCATCACAGTACTGTTTATACTAGCCAGGACATCGAAGCAACCTAGATGTCCATGGGCAGACGAATGGATAAGCAGCCATGTTACATATGCACAGTGGAATATTGCTCAGCTATTAAAAAGAATGCATTTGCATCAGTTCTAATGAGGTGGATGAAGCTGGAGCCTGAAGGAAGTTAGAAAGAAAAACACCAATCCAGTATATTAATGTATATAAACGTAATTAAGAAAAATGGTAACAATGACCCTATATGTGAGACAGCAAGAGAGACACAGAGGTAAAAACAGACTCTTTGACTCTGTGAGAGAAGGCGAGAGTGGGATGATTTGAGCATATAGCATTGAAACATGTATGTGAAACAGATTTCCACTAGAGCTTGGATGCATGAGGCACGGTGCTCTGGGCTTTTGTGGTGGGACGATCCTGAGGGATGGTATGGGGAGGGAGGTGGGAAGGGGGTTCAGGATGGGGAACACATGTACATCTATGGCTAACTCATCAATATATGGAAAAACCACTATAATATTGTAAAGTATTTAGCCTCCAAATGAAATAAATCAATTAAAATGAAAGAATTTAAGAAAAAAAAAAAACAGGCAGCACACCCAGGGGTCATTCACTCATACATTTTAAATCACATTCAGTGACTGACTTTGAATCATCAGTGGGGTCACCCAGGCATTAGAGTACCAGAAAATTTGAATCAGGCAGCTGCACTCCAGATCAAAAATGACATATCATTGAGTTACTATTTGAAAACAACTCTTTGGATTCTGATGGTGAAACTCTGTGTTTTGGTTGCCTCTAAAAAGTTTTCTGGAGCCACATAAATTCTCATCATCAGAACCTCTGCCTTATATATCTCCATATTTGTTTAACTTCTCCTTGAAATTTTTAAAACATTTCAAACTGAAAGTTAACAACAAATTTAATATTGCATTCTCTTTCTTTTAAACAATGATAAACTTGTAGAAGTTGGACTAACAAAAGACTTTATTTATCCATCATCAGTGCAGACTCCTAACCCACTCCACACCTCTATTCTCTGACAAACTGGGGACCCGAGGGTCTGTTCCCCAACCTCTCAGGACCACATATCCTTCCCGTTTCCAGTGCCCACCTTTTCTCTTCTTTCCCTCCTTTCCATCAGAAAATTCACACACACACAAATATCATCTTTTCACCATTTGAGGTTTCCTTTATTTGCAGCCATCGGCTTACTATGTTAGTGTGAGAGACTTTTTTGGTTGGCCATTGCTAACAAAGCAGACCCCTGGAGACACAATTCTAAACTGTCTGCCCTTTGCTATTCATTAACTGGCTGCCAACGTTGTACTTCTCCAGGGTCTCTTATTTTGGGGCAGCTGAGCTTATTTTCTCTTTGGATTCTGCCTCCTTCCATGACTTTCCCTCATATTTTGGTACCTTTTTCGGCTTCGATTTGATTTCTTACGTCCACAGCCAGAGAAGAAACGGTTTGATTTTCTTGTTTTCTTTGGCTTCGTCGATTGAGTGGCATACAATCGGATTTTTTTTCTGAATGTAGCTTGTAGAGGTCTTCTGATCCTCATGGTCATATTTCGTGCCTGAAAGAGAAGACAAGGGCATTAGTTTGGAGGAAAGGACATAAAAACTGAGGTGGAAAGGAGATTTCATGAGAAAGAAATGTGAGCTAATGGGGGCTTTTGTGCCAGGCATGGGCAGGGTAGAGGTCTTGGGCAGCAAAGTCAATGCAGAACATGGGAAGCTTAGTTGGAGTCATCTTACCTTCACAACACGTCTGCCCCTCCTTTGACAAAGGGTCTTCTTCGTTCCATTCTTCCTTGAAGCAAACCGCATTGCAAATCTTCCTGACGGCCGTGGCTTCCTGCTTGCCTTGGTCATGATGGTGCCAAGAAGTGGCTTAACCCAGACTTTCAGCCTCTGACCTCCCTATTGATACCCTTTGAGGACAATGAGGAGCCAAACCCTTCAATCTGATTGGTCCGTTAGGCACTGCCCCATCCAATAGTAGCTTGCGGGGCTTAGACATCACAATGCACCACTGTGTCCATCAACATTGGCTAGAGGATGCTGAGGGAGACCGTGATATAACTTTCCGACTGCTGACATGTCTGTGTGCCTGATTCTGGGGAGTGGTGATTCAGGGGCATGGTGCTTCTCCTCATGATATTCAAACTTCCTTTGTGTTCCCTTTATCCTTTAACTTATATGTGCCTCTTCAACCCTCAGGCTTCTTTCATCCCTCTAGGAACATCTGCCAAACCTTTTCTGTCCCACTTCATCCCTTCAGAGTCCTCTAAGCACTTCATCTCTAGATCACCTTCTGCCTCTTGGGGATTCCTGAGGGGCTTAAGGAACTTAAGAGAAAGCACTTAAGGTGGACAAAGGTAATGAAGAACAGGTTGGATGTTTTATCTACTGTGGTGAGCTTCAGCGACCCCCAGACTTGGTGAATCCTCATTCTGCTGCCCAAAGTTCAATACACAGTCTCCATAAGATTACACATCAGAGCAAAGACAGTCTTAAATGTCTACTCCACTAAATTTTTTGGGGACACTTCAACTCTCATATTGAGTATGGAAACTCAACTGGCCCCATCTAGCAGAAATCAATTCCTGATTTTTGCTTTTTAAAAAAGGAAGGTGCTCAACGTCAAGAGTCAGTTCACCACTGCACCACTGAATCTTGACTGAATCAATTCCCCAGTCACCCCTGCTTGACCATTCTCAGTAGGTAGGGCCCATTGCAGTGCTGACCAATAGCTGAGCAGGGCAAGTACCTGTAGGTAGCTCATTGATAGTTGGTTGCTTGTGGGTGGGGCCAGTGAGGCACTGACAAATGGCTGAGCAATTCCTGTTGCCTAGTAACAGGAGGCGGAGTAATAAGGTACAGCAATGGCTGCCTGCACAGGGTTCTGCCCATGTTGCTCTGTTACATAAGGACACTTTGGGTCAGTGTGCTGGCATCTTTTTGACTGACTCCTTTCCAACCTCAGATTTTTATTTCACATGCTTGTTTAACTTTGGCCTATCATTCTTTCCGTTATCTTCCCAGGCATTCCTGTCACCAGCGCTTATCTCTATGCCCCTCCAACAGCTGCCACTTGATCACATGCTCAGCATATAGTATACATAGTTCAAAGCCAACAAGAATGAGCAGGCCAGCCCACATTGAAAACTACTTTGACAAACCTTAACTTCACAGTGATTCTTTTCCTATTTACAGTGTAACAGAGCAGGATGAGCATCGCCCTGAACAGGTAGCCATTGGTGTGCTCCATTTCAACCCAAACACTTCCTAGGCAACAGGTGTTGCTCAACCATTGCTTGGTGCCTCAGAGGGCCCCATCCACAAGCAAACAATTGTAAATGAGTGACTGTTAGCTGTCCTGCTTAGCTATTGGGCAGCACTGCAGAGGGCCATGCCCGCAGGTTACTGTCAGTGAGGAACCATCGGGGAAGCCATTAAGTCAAGGGTGGTGTGGTGGCCTAAGGGGGAGACTGAGGCAAGAGGCAGAGTCAGGCCTTCTTCCGGAGGCCCTGGAGCTCATGCAGACTTGGGCCAGTGGGTGAGCTGCAGGGCCCAGGGAATAGCCTGGGGACTACATGCTGTAGCGCTCTTTAGTTCCTCTTTGCTGTCTCCCTTAAGGGTGGTGTCGCCTGCATATCTGAGGCTATTGATAGTTCTCCGGGCAATCTTCAAGCTTGTGCTTCATCCAGTCCTGCATTTCTCATGATGTACTCTGCATATAAGTTAAATAAGCAGGATGATAATATACAGCCTTAACATACCCCTTTCCCAGTTTGGAACGAGTCTGATGTTTCATGCCCGGTTCTAACTAATGCTGCTTTCCCTGCATTCAGAGTTCTCAGGAGGCAGGTAAGAGGGCCTGATATTCCCATCTCTTTAAGGATTGCCCACACTTTGTTCTGATCCACACAGGGCAATGCTTGAGCCTAGTCAGTGAAGCAGATGCTTTTCTGGAATTATCTTGCTTTTTCTATGATCCAACGGATGCTGTCCATTTCATCTCTTGTTCCTCTGCCTTTTCTTAGTCAAGCTTGAACATCTGGAAATTCTTGGTTCATGTATGGTTGAAGCCTAGCTTGGAGAATGCTCAGCAATTTTAGGTAGTGTGTGAGATGACCCTATCCCCATAGTCATTTCAAATCAAGCTCCTTCTTACATTAGTCTGGATTTGTTTTATTTAATTGCCAAAATGGACATAAATTCTTTGGTGTAATGCTTATTTCCCACTTCACAGGTATTAATTCACCCCCTGTGGTATTTCAGGCACTGTTGTGGGTGCAAGGCGCACATCAGGGGACAATACACAGGACCCTGGTTTCATGGGGCTTACATTCTGGTCAGTGAGAATGGAAGGTTAATACTAACCACAAATACTCAATTATACAGTATAGCGAGAACCTTATGAGTTATGAGAGATGGGGAGTTTTTCCTCCCCAGAGGATAATGACGGAAGGCCTTATGAATCCAGGACATTTGAGCAAAGACTTAATTAAAGAAAAGAGGGAGTGACTGTGGCTATCTTGGGCAATAAAGATTGGGGAGAGGAAATGGCCAGGGCAAAAGCCCCCAAAAGACATTGTCTATGTCCTTCCAATAAAACAAGGAGGCTGGTGCAAGTGGGACCCGGTGAGTGAGGATGAGACTAAAAAATGATGAGCTGCTGATGGGAGAGAACAGGGCAGGAAAAGGAGGAATGTAATAGTAAACTCATCTCTCCATTTACATGATGAGTTGATTCACCGTACACAATCCACACTGGGCTGTGGTGGTAAAGGGGAGAGGCATTTGTCATAGTCTGATGGCAAGGAGGTGGGAGAGGAGTACTTTTTTCAGTAAAGACACCCGAGATGAATCCTGAGCCACCTAAAGTAGATAGATCACCAAGTGCAAAGCTGGGAATGTGTTTCCCAGACAGTGGGGGAGAACCTGCAAAGGCACTGAAACCCAAGAAAGTTGGTTATACATGCCTTACATATGAAAGGAATCTAAGTTATGATAGGGATATTTGGAGGAAACATGGCCTTGGAGGAAGAGGGAAGAACTTGAAGGGACACCTGGGCCTATGTTAAGTTAATGTCTGTGTTACCCTGCTTCGAAAGAGCATTATTAATGTTTTCTAATTGTAAATATATACTCGAGGCAAAGCTGTATGGAAATTGCAAAAAGGAATATAAAAATGAAATTAGAGAACACCAATAAGTGTGTCAATAGACATATATACTGTTCATATTCTGCCTTTGTTGTTCTACCTAAATGTTTATAACATATATATTATATGTGTTATATAATGCTAAATGTATACATATAATACACATTTTGGGATGAGCATATGTACATCAGTGATTTTTTTTAATTTATAGAAATTGAATCAATCTATATGCTATAGTGTAGCCTTCCTTTTCTATACCATATGCTGGGAGAATGTTTCCACCTCAACACACATGTAACTACCAGTATTTCTGAGGATTACTGTGGTGTTCAAATGCTTGCTTATCTCATACTCCAGGCAAGTGCTATGAACACAGGAACCATGTGCATCTTGCTCACTGGTTGCTTCCATATCTTTTCTATTGTAAACAAGGCTGTAATAAACTTTGGGGTTCATGTATCTTTTCAAATTAGTGTTCATTTTCTTCTGATGTATAGCTAGGCATGGAATAGCTGGGTCACATGGTAGTTCTATTTTTAGTGTTTTTAAGAAACTTCCACATTGTTTTCCAAGGTGAGTGCACAAATTTACTTTCCCAGCAATTATGTACAAGGGCTTCTTTTTGTCCACATCCTTGCCGTCATATGTTATTTTCAGACTTTTTGACTTGATGATAGCCATTCTGACAGCTGTGAGGTGATATCTCCTAGTGATTTTGATTTCTATTTCTCTAATTATTAGTGATGGTCAGTGTTTTTCCATGTGCCTATTAATTCATACTGTAAGTAGTCTTTCTGATCTGGTTCTTTAAGTTAATTTGAAAAACTTTCAAGTTCTTACAATCATCAATAGCATGTCCCTTTTTCTTGTTGAATAGTATCCCATCGGGTGGATGCACCATTTGTGTATTGGTTTACCAGTTGAATAACATTTGAGTTATTGCCAGTTTGGGGCTATTATTAATAGAGCCACAATACACATTGGCATTAAGGGTTTTATGTGAAGAGAAATTCATGTTTTAGGTGGGAGTTATTTAGGAATGGGATTACAGTTTTCCAGTGTGAAGATATTTATGAGTAATGAAAAACATTTCCCAAAGTGTCTTTACCATTTTGCATTCTTTTTTTTTTTTCATTTTGCATTCTTATGAGTCACTGAGGAGAGTTTAAGTTTCTCTCTTTTCCTGAGAGTTGTTTATGTTCTCAGATAGTTTATTTCTTTTATACAAGATACAATTTGCATACTTAACATGCATTCAGTATTAATTACTAATTACATTAATTAATTTTATGTGTTTATGAGTCATCTGTACAACCTATCTCATATGTTATTTCAACCAATTGCTATTCAAATATTTTCCACATTTTAATGGGTTTATTTGTTCTCTTATTAGTGAGTTTGAAAGCTCTTATGTATTATGGTTATAATATATTTTATATGAATATTGATGTAAAATATACGTGTATTTGCATAACCACCTCAAGATAGAGAACTATTCTGTAACCATAAAGAAATTCCCTAATACCACAGTCTTATATTCTTTTTCCATAATCCCTTTTGACTACTGATTTCTTTTCCGTGTCTCTAATTTTCTCATATTGAGAATAATATGTACATGGAATCATCAAGTACATGTCTTTTTGAGGTTGGCCTCTGTTTTACTTTGGCATGCACTTGAGATTCATCCATGTTGTTACATGTA